ATATTTACATGTTCTTAGAAAGGGAGAAATAAAAAGGAAAATGTTATTAAAAAAAGACGTGGGTAAATCTCAAGAAAATTATGCTGAGTAAAAGAAGTCAGACAGAAAATGTTCATACTGCATGAGTATATCTATGTAAAGTTACAGAATACACAAACTAATTTATAGGGATAGAAAGCAGATCAAAGGTTGTCTGGGAAAGTATGACTGCATGGAAGACTGGGAGGCAGAGGACGAAGAAAGTTCATGGGGTTGATGAATATGCTCATATCTTGACTTAAGTGATAATTTTATGGGTGTGTACATTTGCCAAGGCTTACTAAATTGTAGACTTTGAACACGTCAGCCTACTGTATGTCAATTATACCTTAATAAAGCTTTTAAAAAAAAATCTAACAAATTTGGATGAAAAGTAAGCATACTCCAACCATATGACCCAGCCATTTTGCTTCTAGCTAAAATAAAGAAATATATGATTTTACAAAAATTAATGCACAAAAGAGAATGGACAAATATTCATATTAGCTTTATAATAAGTAAAGACTGGAAGCAACCTGGATATTCAACAGGTGAATGAATCAACAAGTTGTAGTACATCCATATAATAGAATACTACTCATCAAAACACATGAACTATTTCTGCACTATTGGTGCACTCAATACCATGGATATATTTTTTAAAAATTATGCTGAGTGAAAAAAGACAAAACAGTGTATGCTATATGATTCCATTTATGTTAAACTCTAATAAATACAAACAAACTTAGAGAGAAAACAGAACAATGGGGACTGGGATTGGGTGTGCAGAAAAGGATTACAAACAGGCACAAGAAAACATCAAGAGTGATGAGTATGTTTACTATTTATTTATTTATTTATTTTGAGACGGAATCTCCTTCTATTACCCAGACTGGAGTGCAGTGGTACAATCTTGGCTCACTGCAACCTCTGCCTCCCAGTTCAAGTGATTCTCTTGCCTCAGCCTCCCGAGTAGCTGGGATTACAGGTGCCCACCACCACACCAGGCTAATATTTGTATTTTTAGTAGAGACAGGGTTTCACCATGTTGGCCAGGCTGGTCTCGAACTCCTGACCTCAGGTGATCCACCCATCTCAGTCTCCCAAAGTGCTGGGATTACAGGTGTGAGCCACCACACCCGGCCACATTTACCATCTTGATGGTTTCCCAGGTGTCACATGTATCAAATACAGGCAGACCTCATTTTGTTGCACTTCACTTTTTTGTGCTTTGCCTATATTGCAGTTTTCTTTATTTGCAAATTGAAGGTTTGTGGCAACCCTGCACTGAGCAAGTCTACTGGGACCATTTTTTCAAGAGCATGTGCTCACTTAGTGTCTCTGTGTCACATTTTGGTAATTCTTGCAATATTTCAAACATTTTCATCGTTATTGTATCTATTAGGGTGACCAGCAATGAGTGATCTTTGAGTAATTGTTTTGGGACAGTATGAACGGTGCCCATATAAGATGGTGAACTTAAAAAATGTGTGTATTCTGATTGCTCCACTGACTGGCTATTCTCCCATCTCTCTCCCTCTCCTTGGACCTCCCTATTCAATGAGACTCAATAATATTGAAATTAGGCCAATTAATAACTTTACAATGTCCTCCTAGTGAAGGCGAGTGTCAAGTGAAAGGGGAGTTACATGTCTCTCACTTTCAATTAAAAGCTAGAAAATCCTAAGGCCCTTAATTATACTAAATCTACTCTACTCATGCTCTATAAATACAACAACAAAGCCTGGGTGACAGCATATCTGTTTATAATATGGTTTGATGAATATTTCTAAGCCCACTGCAGAGACCTGCTACTTAGAAAAAAAAAGAGATTCCTTTCAAAATATTAGTTATCATTGACAATACACCTGGTCACCCAAGAGCTCTGATGGAGATGTACAAGGAGATTAATGCCATTTACACGCCTGCTAACACAACATCTAGTCTGTAGCCCCTGGATCAAGGAGTAATTTCAACTTTTAAGTCTTATTATTTAAGAAATACATTTCATAAGACTATGGCTGTTATAGACAGTGATTCCTCTGACGGATCTTGGCAAAGTTAGTTGAATACCTTCTGGAAAGGATTCACCATTCTAGATGTCATTATAAATATTCATGATTCCTAGAAGGAGGTCAAAATATCAACATGAACAGGAGTCTGGAAGAAGTAGATTCCAATACTCCCCGATGACTTTGAGGGGTTCAAAACTTCCTTCAGTGGAGGAAGTCACTGCAGATGTGGTGAAAATAACAAGAGAACTAGAATTAGAAGTGAACCCTGAAGATGTGACTGAATTGCTGCAATCCATGATCAAACTTCAACAGATGAGGAGCTGCTTCTTATGGGATATGAAAAGAGTTTTCTTGAGATGGAATCTACAGCTGGTGAACATGCTGTGTTTATTTTTGAAATCACAATAAAGGATTTAAAATATTACATAAACTTAGTTGAGAAATCAGAGTCAGGGTTTGAGAGGATTGATTCCAATTTGGAAAGAAGTTCCACTGTAGGTAGAATGTTACCAAACAGCACCACGTGCTATAGAGAAATTTTTCATGAAAGTACAATCGATCGATGTGGTCAACTTCACCGTTGTCTTATTATAAGAAATTGTCACAGCCACCCCCACCTTCAGCAACAACCTGCCTGATTACTCAGCAGCCATCAACACTGAGGCAAGACCCTCCGCCAGCAAAAAGATTATGACTCACTGAAGGCTCAGATAATTGTTAGCAAACTTTAGCAATAAAATATATTTAATTAAGGTATGCAAATTGTTTCCTTAGACATAATGCTATTATACACTCAACTACAGTATAGTGTACACATAACTTTTATGGAATCCAATACATTCATGTGACTAGCTTTATTGTGATATTTGCTTGGTTGCGGTGGTATGGAAATGAGCTTGAAATATCTCTGAGGTATTTCTGTTTATGTTTCATATCAAAACTTGTATCAAATTGTATATTTTAGATATATATATAGTTTATTGTCTGCCAATTACAATAAACTACAATAAAGCTATTAAAATATGGCGAATCAGCTGGGTGCGGTGCTCGCGCCTATAATCCCAGCATTTTGGGAGGCCAAGGCAAGTGGATCACGAGGGCAGGCATTCAAGACCAGCCTGGCCAAGATGGTGAAACCCTGTCTCTACTAAAAATACAAAAAAAAAAAAAAAATTAGCCAGGCATGGTGGTGGGCACCTATAATCCCAGCTACTCGGGAGGCTGAGGCAGAGAATTGCTTGAACCCAGGAGGCAGAGGTTGCAGTGAGTTGAGATCGTGCCACTACACTCCGGACTGGACGACAGAGTGAGACTTCGTCTCAAAAAAAAAAAAAAAAAAAAAAAAAATCTAAAATGCAGATCTGACCATGCAGCTTCCATACTTAAAATGCTCAAAATGCTTCAACGTTACCTGTCACATGTGGTCAAGGTCTGGCACAATGTGGCAACAACTTTCTGCAGCCTCATCCTCCATTTTCCCTTCTCCTACCTTGTAAGTATATTCAGCTCTGACACATTCTGCTTCTATACCATTTCATTGCTTTGGTCATGCCGTTCCTCCTTCTGGGATGTGCTCTTTTTTCTGATTTCTTTAAAATCCCTACTCCTCCTCCTATAGGGTCTAGCTCAAATGCCTTTCCTATAAAACCTCTCTGGATTCTCATTGCTACTTAAATGCTTTTTCTTCTTCAGACCCCATAGCATTTGTACTTATTTCATGATTTCCATCACAGGCTAATCTTAATTTCCCAGCACAGTGATTTGCATGTGTTTAAGTTCCCGACAAGATTTTATTTTATTTTATTTTTTTGAGACAGAGTCTTGCTTTATTACCCAGGCTGGAGTGCAATGATGCGATCTTGGTTCTCTGCAACCTCCACCTCCCAGGTTCAAGCGATTCTCCTGCCTCAGCCTCTTCATTAGCTGGCATTACAGGCGCACACCACCACGCCCGGTGAATTTTTGTATTTTTAGTAGAGACAAGGTTTCACCATGTTGGCCAAGCTGGTCTCAAACTCCTGATCTTAAGTGATCTACCTGCCTCAGCCTCCCACCAACAACATTTTAAAACTCTTTGAGGGCAATGACTCCTCTCTATTAATCTGTATATCCCCTGCAACCCAAAGCACAAAGACTTACTAGTAATAGGTGCTTTGTAAATATTTTTGAGTTGAATTGGATAATTTAACTTCTAAGTGACTTCATCCTAAATTTAGCTTTTCTGTCCACTCACCTACAAAGAAGTGTATGAATATGAGCAAGGATATTTGAATACCATACATTGAGCTACCCTCATAATAAGCCGTAGTGACAATGCAAGCAGCTTCTCTAAGTGAGAGTTTCATGTAAAATTAAGAAAATATTCTCTAATCTTTGCTGGCCCATAGTTTACTATTAACATCATCTTTGGGTAATGAATGGAAAATTTGGCTCATAAAAATCAGAAAATGCTAAACTTCTAGACAGGTAAACTCTTACACGATAATTAATTGAATCCAGTAGTTCCTGCTACACTCCCCAAACCAAAAACATTGTCATAGAATGTTACCCATTATCCCCACCAAAACTAAGTTCTGGGGCTGGACATGGTGGCTCATGCCTGTAATCTCAGCACTTTGGGAGGCTGAGGCGGGCGGATCACCTTAGGCCAGGAGTTTGAGGCCAGCCTGGCCAACATGGAGAAACCCCACCTCTACTAAAAACATGAAAATTAGGCAGGCATGCTGGCGTATGCCTGTAGCGCCGGCTACTCAGAAGGCTGAAGTTAGAGGATCACTTGAGCCCGGGAGGTTGCAGTGAGCTGAGATCGCGTCACTGTACTCCTGCCTAGGCAACAGAGCAAACAAAAGAAACAAAACAAAATATACACAAAAACCACCAAGTTCTGTATCCTGGTTAGCTTAAAGGGAACTGTGGGGCATTTTCAATAAAAAGATTTCTGTTTCTGAGATTATACCCCTCGGGTACCTGGACTCTTCTGAGGTTTGGGTTCCATGATGGCTGTGTGTCCTCCCCTGTCAAAAGGAAGGGTTAGTGTTAGTCCCCAAACAACAGCATGCGTGTTTCATTGACCAGCCACCGCTTCAGTAAGTATTGGGATTGTGCTCATGAACGTTGCTGAGATGGGTTATGAGTTTCCCATTCCCATTCTTTCTTTAGTATTTCCCTCCCTGGGCCTGAGGCTGACAGTAGCTGCGGTAATGGGGACGCATCCAAGCAGCTTGTCCTCACTCAGTGGGTGGTTCTGCGGAGGTGTTGTTGAGATGACTGAAGGAGCTGTCTTCCTTGGACTTTCTCTGTTCTTGCTGCATAAGAGGCTTTGATAAGAGAGCTAGGGGATGGCAACACCAAGAAGAGATAAGAACAGGGCAAAGGGCAGGATGTCATGGAGCCAATACAGTTGAGAAAGCCTCACTGGCTTAGAGGAAGCCCAAGATAAGCCCTTCTCCATGCCAGAGGCTCGCTTTCTCCAGGGGAAACTTAAGAATAAGGACTGCCAGGCATGGTGGCTCACACCTGTAATCCCAGCACTTTGGGAGGCTGAGGCAGGCAGATCACGAGGTCAGGAGTTCGAGACCAGCCTGACCAACATGGTGAAACCCTGTCTCTACTAAAAATACAAAACTTAGCCAGGCGTCGTGGTCCGCGCCTGTAATCCTACCACTTGCCTATAATCCCTCAGGAGGCTGAGGCAGGAGAGTCGCTTGAACCCAGGAGGTGGAGGTTGCAGTGACCCTAGATTACGCCACTGTTTTTGAGCTGCTCTTTGTCAAAAAGCCAAAAAAATCATTTTTAAAATAAAATATTTCTAAAGCCTTTAAAGTTTATGAAATGCATTTGCATACTCTTTTTGTGTGTTTCAGAATGGCCTCATTCTGAGACAGCTCATTTTACAAATGAAAAGTTGCATTTGAGAGAAGACTGAGGTGACTTGGACCTAGGTCCCCTGGCAGAACTCCACACAGCACCACATTCATGCTCATGGACACTCCCAAATAACGTTTGCCTGCCCTGTACCCTGTGGATGTCAAAGTGTGCTTTGGAGGATATCTCTGTCCTTCCAGGGTCTGTGAAGTGCTCCGGAGTCGTGTGTTGTGACCATTCTTCGTTCATCTCCCCACCCACCATAAAAATGAGAGGACAGATAAGGCAGTAGGGTGTGGTGGTTTAGAGTGCTAGCTCTGGTATCTGGGTTTAAATTTCATCTCCATGAATTATGAGGAATGTGATCTTTGATACTTTATAATACTTCTCTACACTTCCATTTCTAATACTTCTCTACACCCATTTCTAATACTTCTCTACACCTCCATTTATTCATCTGTAACATAAAGGTTATTACCACCCTCATCAGATTGCTGGGAGCATCACTGGAGACACCCTGTTGATGAGCACTCCTCAGTGCATAATAGAAGCTCAATAAATGCTAGTTGTTAGGTCCTTTCCAGCTCAGATATTCTATGATTCTATGGTTGTTTAATAATGGGTAGCAGTTTTTGAGTACTTAATACATTCCAGACACTTCTAAGCAATATGTATATGAAAGATTTTATGTATATGTATACATATAATTTCACGTATACATATACAATCTCATCCTATCCTCATAACCATACTCTAAAGCTTGCACTGTTTTTACAATGATACAATGCCCATTTACAGATGAGGAAATGGTTATCAGAGAGATTACACAACTTGCCTTTGATCATGTAATGAAAAAGAAGCAGAACCAGAATTCTAACTTGAGAGCTGGCCTACTTTGTTCTTCCTCCTACCTAAGAAAGTAGAATTAAGTCTTGTCATAGTTCTGCTTGCATTTCTTGTCGTTGCCCCCAAACAAAAAAGAAAACCTTTCTGATTTAGCTGTTTGATCTCATTCAGGAGAATCTCCCCACAATCACGCCTAACCTATTTAAAATATAACATTATTTTGGATTTAGGGAATACAACATACCAAGAGGTCCATCCTGTTTCCCTCTGACTCTAGTATAGCCTAGGAAGCTTATGAAGAAAGAGCCCATGGAAATACTGCATATCTGCAAAATTTTCCATTTCCAAATTTGCAATTGCTCAATTGCAAAAAAGCTTCTAGATCATCCCAGCCTTGGGAGTCCAAACCAGATACACCAAGCAGTACTTACTGGAAGCCAAGTGGTCGCTGGTCCAATGCTCAGGAAAGTGCCTTGTCCTGAAGATTCCTGAACTCCTGCTGACACTGAGCCTTGGTGCCTGGGTGAAGATTAAGCACAAGCTGTGCTTGAAATCTGAACCACCAGGAAGTTCCCAAACAACTATTCTTGAGCAGATTTTATTATTGCCCCAAATTGAAATGGAAGCTGTGCCCTCGGGGGAAGTTCTGGGGCTTCATACCTGTGGCTCGTCGCAGAACCGCCTTGGTGTCCCAGCTGTCTAGCACGGGAAAATGATAAGCAAACATTTCATTTCAAAAATGACAGCAAACAAATTAATAATAATAAAAAAATTCCTGCCAGACTTTGGACCATGATTACAATAACCCTTATTGAGAACAATGCCAATTTATCCTCAACCGTCTGCGGCAACTACCACTGAAAAAAATTCCCTTTGCCTCCCTCAGCCATATATTAACCAATGTCTCCCTGGGAAGGATAGAAAGGGTTCCTTTGTACCAGATGAGGAAACAAAAAACCTGGTTTCTCTAACACACTTGTACATGCCAATGGTTTCCAGGAAGAGTTGCTCATTCAGCCATAACAGAGTGTTATCATCAACAGGGTGGCGCTAGGCATGTTCCCCTGCACAGCCACCAGCAGCAATTGAATAAACCATCATGCTTAGACCTGCTGAGTGGCATCCAGCCACCAAAGTGTCTTAGATATATTTTCATGTATATTACAAATTTCTAGGGGAGAGGAAGAAGTGACAATGGATTTTATCCTGTTCTACTACCTTTAGAAGTAAAAGTACATCATTTTAATCCTCATCCTCACGAGGGTAGCTGGCCTGGAATCAGCTCAGCCATGGATCCATTGTGCGGTCTTGGCAAGTTAACTGGAGTTCTCTGAGTCTGTTTCCTCATCTGCAAAATGGGACAGATAATACTGACTTCATAGGTTTTTTTTTTTTTTTTAAGTTAAGTAAAATTTCACATATAAAAAGCATCTAGCACAGTGCTTTATCCACAGTTAGCATTCAGCAGAGGTTATTTCTTTGTTTTTCTCTTTTGCATCCTATGGAGGGTAGATGTTATTGGCTCCTTCATTTAGCAAACCTAGCTGGACTTCAGGCATACAGAAATTATTAATATATTATTTGCTTCCTGCACAGGATCAGTTTTGCTTGATTTAGGAAAAACAACTTCTTAAATTTGATATAGTTCGGATGTCCCCTCCAAATCTCACGTTGAGATGTAATCCCCAGTGATGGAGGCGGAGTCTAGCTGGAGGTATTGGGTCCTGGGGATGGATCCCTCATGGCTTAGTTCTGTGTCTGAGATAGTGAGTGAGTTGTAGCGAGGTCTTTGTTTAAAAGTGTGTGGCATCTCCCCCAACTCTACTGCTCCCACTCTCACCAGGTGACATGCCTACTCCCGCCTCACCTTCTACCACGAGTAAAAGAAAGCGCCTTGAGGCCTTCCCAGAAGCTGAGAGATGCCAGCACTATACTCCCTGTACAGCTGGCAGAGCCATGGGCCAGTTAAACCTCTTTTCTTTATAAATTACCAAATCTCAGGTATTTCTTTATAACAAGACAAAGAATGACCTAACAGTATTTCCTGGATGTTCTTTTAGGCCAACTTTGGACTATTCTGCAGATAGTATCTTTACATTAGATCTTTAATCAGATACTAGTTGTAGCTCTAAGTAGTTCATAAAAAGCTTGTACTGATTTCCACTTACTTGGGAACTATAAAGTCCAGACAGACCATTGTTATAATATAGAGACCTAACCAAAAAGGGGAAGAGGGAAAGTTACTGTCAGACTTGTGTTCCTTTAGAAAGGATACCTATGAGTCAGTTAGATGGGCTTTCCGTCAGCAACCTGTTCATCTGTCTGTCCATCCACCTACCCACCCTTCAAACCCACCCTATTCTAGGCTTTTTTGTATTATTTTCCCATAGTATTACAAAACTCTTTGGGGGAAGAAGCCTAATAAAGCTATTTGTACTGTAGATGAACCCATAAAATAAAAACTGAAAAGCAAACAAAAACTGGCACAGACATCAAATACTAAACTTGTGAAACAAACATCCCTATGAAACACAAGCATAGGTTTTTTAAGTTGTCTCCAATGACCTGTAACAAGGTATGGATTACCTGTCGCAATAAGCAATCGCCTGTTCATCTGAAAGATCAGATGAGTTATTCGATGACTTTGTTAATTGAGCTTCTCTGTCATGAAGATGCTCTTTAGTTCTGCTGCCTCTTAACCAAAACACAACTGAACAGTTTATATGGCATGGCAATACCTACTACTTATTGGAGATTTTTGTTTTACATAGGATATCTCATTTAATTCTACCTTGTTGCAGAATAAATTTTATTATTCCTAATTTTAAAGGAGGAAATTTAAATTTAGAGAGATTAAATAACTAGCTAAGGATCATGCAGCTAGTAAGTGACCCACAGAAATCAGACTGGTCTGTCTTGACTCCAAAGCCTGTGTGTGTTCTTTCATATGCTACACTATGTGAGTCCTGGGCTGAGATCAGTTGGCCTTGCTCTCGGCCTACTCTGACTGTGTGATATTGCATAGGTTGCCAGATATTTGGGCCTTGTAATCCCATTACTATCCTTCCCCAAAAATCTCTAAGTACCCATTTATCTCTGATTATGATTATGCCTTTGAGTCAAAGTCAAGGGCTTATTAGCGTGCAGGCCTTTTCACTCCATGCCGCATGCTCATTGTCCATGTGGATAGTAAATGTGTCCTTGTCAGTGACACTGGTAAAGGAGTGACATCAATCACATCACTTCAAAGCATCCTTACTATACCTCTTCTCTGGAACAAAGAATTCAAGGAAAGCAAGGAGAAAGCTGTACACAGAACAAAGTAATAACAAGGGTATCTTTTAGATTATGTTAAAAATGGTATCAAACCAAGACCTATTTTCTATCATCTGTTTGGTTGTGGTCTGAATCATCTGATGTTTGTAAAGAGAAAGGAACTGATGATATAAAGCATTTTGTATAATTTTATGTGATTCTCTTCCATGACTGATTTTGGAAATTGCTCTATGGTTAGGACTGTTTTAGCTGTTAAAAAAGAAAAAAAAACCCAACACTCAACAATAGTGGCTTATAATTTATTTATCATACATCATGCAAGAAGTCTGGAGTGAAGCATTTCCAGACTTATTTTGATGACTCAGTGATGTCAGAACTAAGGTTATGTCTCCGATTTTCTTGGCCTTTTCCATACGGCCAGAAGTTGGCTGTCGTAAGTATCATGTTTCCACAACACACCATCTCAAGCAGCAGGGAAGTGTTGGGAGAAAATGAGCATTCTCCTTATGTGCTTTTCACTTCATGGAGAAAAATTTCTCCTACAAGTCCTGGATAAGACTTTCTCTTACATCTGATTGGACTGATCAGCTGTTACCTCAAGAAGACCAGTCATTGGCAAAAAGGAAATGAGATTTCATTGGCTTGCACCAATCGTGATAATTTCCCTTGCTATCTGAACAAAATTGGGGTTCTGCTAGCCACGAAGATGGAGCATAACTGTTGCAGACATTATCATCCCTCTCTCCCTCCGTCATCCCCTGCCTCCCTCTCAAGATCGTTTCCAAGAACTCTTACTCCTGGTCTCTGCATGCTGAGCACCTTGACCTTTCTACATGCTGCTCCCTCTCTCCGGCTCACTCTTCTCCTGTTTCTTCTGCTGGCTAACTACTACATATCCTTCAGTTCTCGCTCAGACATCACTTCTCAGTGACTCCTTCTCTCCCCAGACAAGGCCAGATTGTTTATGACACATTATCATGGTGCAGTGTTAACTTCAGTACCCATTTGCCATTTGTAATTTTAGATGCATTTGTCTGATTATTTGGTTAATGTCTGTCTCTTCCTCCAGAAGACTGTATAATCCATTAGTACTGTGTCTGTTTCTTCTGACCAGTGTATCTCCAGTAGCTAGCTTAAATGCCTATCCATTCTTTATTTACAGTGTGCCTACTATGTGCCAGATGTTAGAGATAATAGAGACATGGAAAGATTAGTGTTTTTTGAGAGCTCATAATTTGACCAGGGAGATCCAGAGAAAACTTTAATACTCCATTAGTAATCCCTCCTACTTCACTTTTGTACCTCACTCTTATGATTACACTCTGGACCTTGGAACTACCCATTCTTGCATGACCTTTGATAACTTTGCCTCTGGTGCTCCACTTTCCAACTGCAATCTCCCTTCCTTCTATGCTTTACGTTTCTTCACTTCATCCTCTCCAAGACCTCAAGATTCTGGACCCTTCCTCGTTCTTTCAATATGTCTGCTGAGATCAATGTCCATTACCAGCTGAAACTGCCACTCTCTCAACCCCCTGCAAAAGGAGATAAAGTGGGCTGAACTTTGCACAAGAATAACCACTTATGGGATCAGGGTGAGCACCTTACCCTACGACTGCTTCTCTATTGGCTGGCTGTTGACCCAGGGAATGGCCTGACACAAAGAACTTTGCTCAGAAGAGGCAATGGCCGTGAGCCAACCCTTGCTGAAATTTTCTCTTCTCTTTGCTTCCAGGTTACTCTCTCACTTGGTTCTCATCTATACTGATCTATTTCTTTGTTTTGTTTGCTGGGTTCTTTACCAGCATGCAATCCTTACTTTTTGGGGTCCCCAGAGTTCCTTCCTTATATACTGTGTTTCCTTACTTTGTAAGTATTTCTCAATGCTGCAAATACTGTGGGTCCATTGAGGTTGGTGACTGTAAATTTGGCAAGGTTCGGGTTGTGTGATTTTCTCCAGTGGCCTTCAGCTGTTCAGGAGCAGGCATGGGGGAGCCAGGGCCTGGGGTTCCTTTCAGCTTAGCATTTTTGCTAGGAAGATGCCACGGAAGGACAAAGGAGCAAGGGAGTTTAAGACACTTGCTAAAGAATGCTTGAAATGTTGACTTATGGAATCAGAGGGTCATAAGGAGGAAATAACCAAGGACATAAAAAGGTAAAGGAGATACGAGGAGATTCTTGGGGAGGAGAATCCTGGGTGGCGATTCCTGGTGAGATGTGCCATCGAAGACAGATGGTACAAGCTGACTGAAGGATAGGAAGTAGTGCTTGGAAGGAACATGTTTGATTGATCTTAAAATAGAGAAATTGCAAGGCGCAGGTAGCTGTGTAGCGTAGAAGGTCATTGGTGATGAGGAGATCAAGGAACTGAGGGGCTAATATGTTTGGCCATCCACATGGATGTCCAGTTGATGGAGCAAAGTCCTTTTAAAGTTCTCTAAACATTTTAAAAACATGAGAAGCAGAATAAAGGTAATTAACACTACCTGCTTCCCCCAATACACATACATACCTGTGTCCATTTTTGTATTTGGATTCATCTGTTAGAGCAAAAGCAGATGTAGATGCCAAAAGAGGACTTGGAGATCCACAGAAGATTGAAGTCAGAATCTTCCTTATTTAAAGAGAACACTTGGGTCCAGTTTCTGGGGATTAGGGAATGTACACAGGTGACAGAGGATGGCCCAAAGATTTCGGACTGGGAGTCAGCCAGTGAGACCACCACTGGGGCAGAGGGATGGGTGATGAGTTCTCCTTTTTTCTTTCATTTCTTTGCCATTGTGGCCCTGAATCTTAGTAGTTCTAACTTGGTTGGCACTGGGCCAAAAGAGTCAGTGTTGGTAAGGAAGGGGTGGCAGTGCAATTGAAGAAAAAGTGGAGTCGGAAGGAAATCCCAAATTAAGGTCCTGTGCAGTGGCCTCTTTCCCACCAGCCCATCACATCTGTAGGGTGTGGTGTAACCCTGGAACCCGATGATTCCTAGAACTCCTGTTGGTCAGTGTGGAGCTTCCCTGCTGCTCTGGATCTCAGAGCAGCCCAATTTTTTTTTTTTTCCACTTCAACTGCTATCAT